ATACGTTCGTAGAAGGAAAGGAAGTGAAGACGATATTTCAGTTGTTCGTGTTAATAATTCGCCAATAATGGACTACAGAGAAAATGCACATGCTTTTAACGCATATTTCAGCTCGGATTTCAAATAGAAACCTAACAGTATAGTATTCAGATATCAACGCTGGCAGATAGAAGTATTTTTCATATTGATGTAAATACTTCGCGGAAAAGAATAAAATTAATGAAAAGAAGAAAATCACGAGGTCCAGATTGTATTCCCACGGACATCATTAAATTAGGGAGAGAGGCTATTCTACCATATTTAATTAGGTCATTTAATGTATCAATAAACAACGCTTGCGTACCGGAAGATTGGAAGCTGGCTCTCGTAGTACTAATTTTTAAGAGTGGCGACGAGACAATACTTAGTAATTGTAAGCCTTATATCAGTCATATGCAAACTTACGGAACATCTAATTTCAATGTCTCAGGAAAGAATGAGAAGGCAGGAAGTGGCTTCATCAGTGTCAGCACGGTTTCAGAAATGGTTTCTCGTGCGAAAGTCAGCTAGTCTCACTTCTACAGGACCTGGCCGACGTAGTTGAAGGGAAAAGGATCGACGCGATAGAAATAGAATTTTCCAAAGCTTTTGATGTTGTTCCACACGATTGTCTTATAAAGAAATTAATAGATTCGGGTATAGACAATAGAGTGGTAGCGTAGATAAACGAACTGCTTCGGAACAGGAAAAGGAAGGTCCGAATCGGAAGTTGCATATCAACCTCGAGAAACGTCACGTCAGGAATTCCACAAGGAAGTGTCATCGGACCACTCATGTTTCTGGCCTTCGTGAATGATTTGCCGATTAATTTAGCTTCAAATGTACGACTCTTTGCAGACGATTGCGTAATTTATAGGATTATCAACTTGGATAAGAACGAGAATATTTTACAGCGAGACTCAGACAAATAACACACCTCGGCAGAAACAAACGGCAAGGAAATAAACAGTTCAAAGAGTAAGTCCATCACGTTTGGTAGAGGTCGAAGTTACAATGAATCTGCGTACAAACTGAACAATAATGTTATACCTCGAGTCACGTCTTGCAAATATTTAGCAATACAGCTAGACAGTAAATTGAGCTGGGAAAATCAAGTCAATTTCGTTGCAGGGAAAGCCAGGAAATCTTTACATTTCGTTATACGGATACTGAAAAAGAGTACAGTGAGAGCCAAAGAACCAGTATATATGTCATTAGTGCGACCCATATTAGAATATGGCGCGGTATGTTGGGACCCATACAGAATTTTATAGCAAAGGAATCTAGAAAAGGTCCAGTGCAGAGCATCAAACTTTATTTTCAGGGGTACCAAGAATAAAGGGATATGGGATTCACTCTACAGGAAGGACATTAAAGTCACGTCTCTATGCAATGTATAAAGCGTACCTTGGCCTTCGTGCATGGAAAGAAATTCAAAGTCGATTAACGGGAAACCTACTTATTTCGCAGAAGCGGACGACATGAACAAAATTCAGTCAAGAATTCAGAAAAACGGATGTTGGGAAATATAATTTCTTGCGAATCGAACAATAGAGACTGGAACGGGTTGCCTGTGACAATCTTCGATCCCTTTCCTCAAAGCCTGAGAATAAAATTTAAAAATTAAATTAGCTTTTTTGAATGTTGATATGTGTTATAGAATATATTTATTATTAATTCAGTGTTAACCTATGTCCTTCTACGTAATAATAATAAAATAATAATAATAATTATTATTATTAATTATGTGCAATGCAGTGGCGTGAAGTGCAATGGCATTGTGAAACTGCGGGAAACGAGTGTGTAAGAAAGACATTACAGCTCGGTGATTTGCAGTGCGGTGAAGTGGAGTGCTATGAAAGATTGCACTGTGAAATGTTCACGTTAATTTGTAGTTTGTAGATTTTGTAAAGTTGTTAAGTTCTGTAATGTTAAGTTAGTGTATTCTGACACCAAGTTCTCAGACTTAATTGCAGAATTATTAATAAATCTATCTATCTAAAATGCCAGCAATACAATTGAGGCGGTAGCTAGAAGGGCTTATACTCCAAAACTGTGTTTTGAGAACAACACAATGCTAGTGTTCGGTGAGAGCATTTTATACACTAGTCTTTTTAATGTCTCCACATGCATTTAAACACCGTGTAATTGTGAGGGCCTCTGGTGGCCTCACGTTTTTCTAATAATTTTTCCAGTTTTCAATACTTCACAAAATCTAAAAATTCATGAATCACTACTTACACAGACATTGGGTATGCAAATGTTTTACATTGTTCTTACTTCCATTATGATTTGTACTGGCACCTGGTTCTGTACCATTATTTGTACAGGGTACCAATGGGGTCTTCTTATACGACCCCAACATCTAATTCGTGTAACGTTGATGGTAAATTTTCTCAGATTACACAACTCATGTATTCATCAACTTTTAAGGCTAATGGTAAATATTGCTGGAGGCTTTCAAACCAAAAATAATACAGTAGTTTTTAGATTTTGCACAGGCATATAACAGAGTCTGTCATACAGGCCTAATGCTTAAACTAAGAATATTAGGTGTTCCAGATTATATCCAAAAATTGATTTATGGCTTCCTTCATGATCTTTGTTTGTAAAAGTAAATGATACCTTATTAAGACAGCGTAATATTTCAGCTGGAGTGCCTCAGGGTGCCGTATTATCTCCTACACTTTTTAATATTTACATTTCCGATATTCCTAAAATGACATACAGTAAGTTAGCTTTTTGATGACGTCACAGTGTTATTTACATCACAGGAAAATGTGTTAATAATACTAACTGATAATAAACCATTTTTAATTTCGACTAATCAATTGAGAATAAAATTAAATCAAAATCAAATACGATATTTACACTGCCAAAGGAAATTCCACATATCAATATTTATAATAACTCCATTTTATGGAATAATAAACCTGACAAATATTTACGTGTACTTTTCCATAAAATACTTAACCTGGAAACAACACATTTCGGCAATCATAAATAATACATACGGAAAATCTTAAAAAGTACACCCCTTTATTAACAGAAAATCTTTGTTAAATATTGAATTTCAATTGTTATTATTCAAACCTGTATTACCATCTTTAACTAATGCATGCCCGATTTTGCTCAATACTGCAGATACAACAATAAGAAAATGAAGTCATGCAAAATAAATGCATTAGGCATATACTCCAAGCTCCTTCGTTTGTACCAAATTCACAAATTCGTGGAGAATTACATGTAGATTCAATTAAAAATCATACATTGAAAATAACACTTTTTTTTCTCTCTTTACTTAATTTTTCTCACATAACTCAAAAATTTAATTTAGGTTGTAATGTTGTGATCCATAGCAGAGTTAAATCCAAATGTCCCAAAGATAAATTGCGTCCACCTCAATTATTAGTTTTATTATAACTGATAGTCAAAAAAGAAAATTTGTTAAATCAAATTTCTTTAAAATTAAACCATTATCTTACACCATATTAGTCATGGTGTAAATGAGTTAGCAATTAAGTGATTGTGCCAAAACCTTAATATAAACACTAATAAACATTGAATTGAAGCTCTTGAAAGGCCTTCTGGCCGAACAAGAAATAAAGAAAGAAAATTCTTCAGATGCTATGGTAAATTATGACAATCCTTTCGTAAAATCATTAAGTTGGTATCAATTGAAATTATTGTATTTTGCTTCGGTTATGTTAGTCGAGTAACGCTGTTTTGATACTACCATTCCTTATAAAGAGCAACTTTCTGTAGAGACGATAGGCAGCGTTTTACTTGAAGAAGCTGGATCTTCGGTAGATGCCATAGGTAGAGGTGCGTGATGTACATTTAAATATGTCAATGATTAATAAATAGTCACAATTGAATTGTGACCAAAGCAGTGAAAAAGATTTAGGAGGAATATTAGATTTACAGTTACTGGCTTTTATAGTTTAGGATTAAATCATATTACAAAATTGTATACATTTCCTCCACTGTATTGTCACAAATGATTGAGATAATGTTCGTCATCAACAGATCCGAAAGTAAGGAAGATATATTGCATAAGGCACAGAGAATCGGATGGAAAAGCTTGAAAATGTAACAATAGGTCTCATGAGATATGCAAAGAAAAACGTGGGTACAGTAACTCAGTACTAAAGGTGGATCAGCTTCCCAGTCAATGGCCATCTTGATCAGGTTTTTATACATTTTTCCTCATTCATGGAACAAATGCTGAGATGAATATTTGTTTTGCATCTGGACAAAAATGTAGCTTCACTATGCGCACATTTTGTTGAGCTCTCCTTTTGCTTGTAGTGGTAGGCGTAGAGCTGGAGGTAAGATACTATTTTGTTAGTAATGTAGACAAATAAAATCTGCAGTTCATTTAGTAATTATAAATAAGTTTTCTATAACTTGGGAGAAAATGTCTAGATTTTTAAAATGTTGCTAATCTCACGTCTTCTCCCCCATACACCACATACAGTTTTCAATGCTTTTGGACTAAATATATCAAATTAAATCAAAAAATTGAAATCGCAGAGCAATGCTTTGGCTCTAGAGTTGCACAAGGACGGACGACTTGAAGTCAGCCAATTCTATTAAACACCCACACTAAAAGCCCATTCACAGTGCTGTCACAAACATAAGCATAACGCATAGACGTAAACATGAACGTAAGTATTCACAATGTCTAACATAAACGTAACCAAAATAAGACTTTCTACGTTACGATTCACACTGCATGTAATGAGTTTTAAAAGTTTTGTCAGAGATGTGTAAATATGATGTTAAGCTTACGTGCACATGTGCAAATATGGTCAGATATTGCTGTATTATAATTTTATATAACCATTGCTGTTACGAGAAGGTACATGGTGTTGAAGTACCAGTTGTTGTTTTTGGTATCAAGGACTCTCAAAATGTAGATTCAGAGTTCACAACATATACGAGGAATTGTTTCACAACATTTAAGAACAAAATTTACTGACAATTTATTCCTTTCTCGGTAGCAGGGCCAAACAATATGAATTTTCTTCTGTCGAAATATCGCAGTTATGATGCAGTATTACAATTTTCCCTCGTACTACGTACGTATTATGAAAGTAATATAAATCTTGCCAGGCGGATATTTGAAATATTATGCAACTGATTATATGAACTGTATATCACACATAACAAAAAAAATTTTCAAAAAAATGGTTCAGTATGCAAAGGTTAACACAGGTTTCATCTATGAAATTTAAAGAATAATATTCACAAAATCAAGTTAAAATAATTTATTCAACAGGCCTTTTGTAGGCTTTTAAATCGTCATGATCATATAATTTATGAATCTTGCTATACATATAACGGAAAAAGAATAGCAAATTGTCATACTGTCCACTATAAGGTTGGGAATCAGTTAAATTGTGAAACTCGAAAAGGAACTGATGGATGGCTTCAATGGTGGCTAAGTACCACCGAGGACTGCCACTCTGGTGCCTCCAGAAATGAGACAGCCTTCTTTCAAGAACAACACACGGCAATGAATGTAGCCGAGGGTCCTTAAACATCCCACGACTTTGATTCCATGTGCTGTCAATAAAAACTGCACGCAACACACACTCCTCTGAAGATGCAATATTGCTGCTATCTGGAGGTTCTCCAATAGGATCGCTTGCTCCGGTATTCCGCCTTTTGGCTCTCGGCTCTCCAGAGTCGTCTTTATTCCTGTCGATGAAAAGAAAACATGATGGATCAACTGAATCATGCTGAACAATTGGCATATCTCTTATCCTAAATAAGCAATTATTATTTGTCTTCAACACAGAGATTTGTTTCTGTGCTGTAGCATTTCAAGATAAAGGAAAAGGGTCTGCGAGCGTCATTGCCAGAGCATGTAACCAGCTCTGTATAGCAGCCCTCTGCATACAGAGAAGAAAAATCCCCCAACAGTCAGGTAAGAAGACACACAAAGAGAGGCGGAAGGAACAGATCATTTCAAGATGGCATACTGTTTTGAACGGTTTCTCATAAATGCTAAACTAATTCTAATACATAAAATTTATACTAATAACTGCTTAAATAATAAATGGAAGAAGATTGACACTGCCGGGACTTTCAACTGGAGTGCAAAGGATACATACATTGGAAACTTTTTCTGGATATTTGAAAAGGCCAATTATGAACTTGAGCAGTAGAGATTAAATAAAAACACTTAATATTCGCAGGGCAGTACATATGCCACCGAAATTACCTCCCTAATAATCAAGAGTTACCAGTACACAATGCTTAAGAAAGTATATACAAGAATATTTTAAACTGCATAAGAGTATAAATAATACATTGCAAATCCACAACCTCAAATCTGAAGGGAAAATACAAGTTTGGATTAATACTCTCGTTTAAAAGTTCTCAACACCCAATGGCCTTGCATGTTACCTCCATCTGGGATATGAAATGGTAATATGGAAAATTCAAAATTATAATTGCCGTACAAAAATACTTGCACATATAGGTGGTGCGAATAGTAAGAATTTAGTGTACACTCGCATACATTTTGTTATTGCTAAAACTCACTACAAGAATATATTTTGATACCTAGAAATTACACAAATCCAATGTCATTGCATTGTCATGTGTTTTTTTTTTACTTTTCACCTTTAGGTGTCAAAAGTATCAGTGACGCCGGATTTCATGTTATTAAACCTCAATTTCCCAGAAACGTTGGCAATCGCCGACTTGTAACACTTCAATCAATTCAACTCAAACTCAACGACTTCAAAGTCAATGCTGCAGTGATTGTTCACTGGCTGTAGATATCGCCTGTTTGTACGAGGACTTTTTAATTGTGACTATACTGCAATCTTTCCAACTCTGCCCCTGGCACGTATCAGCTGTTGACGGTGTCATACAATTAGAAGCTTGAACGTTACCATAGTGACGTTCAAGCTCCTGACTGTATGAAACCACCAACAGCTGATACCTGCCAGGAGCAGAGTTGGAAAAAACGCAGTATAGTCTGGGTGGCAATAGCTGTTCTGGATAGCAATAGGCGAAGCTTTTATTACCAACGAGAAAATTGCAGGGTGAAAAATGTGCATCAACTTGCGTTCTCCAAATGATTTTTAACACGTGTGCATTATTTTTAAAATTTGTTTAGGAAATGTTTAATAAATTTAATTCTGTATTAGGTAAATGTGTTTTATAATTAGCATATTGTAATATGACATCTGATTTCACATATTTATTACATATTCGCACTGTTTTCATTACATATTCATGTACAATTTTGACGTTTAATACTACATGTTTTTTCGATCTCTATTAATAAGTTTCAAGTGATACAGTACCTAGGGTTTTGCGAATTATTAAAAATATGGTAATACGGATGAAACACTTATGAATAACATCATAGCAGCACAACAAATTGACAAGGTCTGCAGCGCGATTCACTCCGTGACGTACGTAAAGATTGGAACAATTAGTGTTGACATCTCCATTTACGAAAATTATGGTGTTGGAGTGAAAATGACCCTCAGGTACACGGGTTTAATCAAGCTATGATAGACCATAGTTAAATCAATCTAAAGTCTAATAACTTAGGGGAAAAACTGGACTGCACGTGCGCGAAAAGTGGCGGACGGGATGGCTCCCTCTCTTACACACATCCCCAACTTCCGCTCCTGAAGAACCACCACCACCGCCGCCGCCTCGGCCTGAGCGGGCGGGCGAATGGCAGCCCAACTTTGACCGTCCCGAACCCTAAAGTGTTGAAGGCTGGTATCTGTTTATTCTTGTAAGTAGAACGGGTTTTGGGTGTAAGAAATGTCATGTCGAGAGAAATGACCTTCCTTCCCTTCTCCTCACGTACATTTGCCACAAAGGGCTCTTGTTTTGGAATTTTTCTCGCTCGGGAGTCAGTTTGTGAACGCTTCCTGCTGTGCGGGGTTACCACGGAGATTTGTTGCTTGGCGGAATTTTCATGTTTTTTTCATTTCTGATGATATGGATTCCACTTCAATATCCGCAGGTGTATCAGGGCAAACGATGAGAGGCCAGGCTCGTGAAATAGTGTACGAGCAACACAGTACTTTCGTCATAAGAAAATCGCATTCAATATAACAAATGAGAACGTTGAAAAAATGACCAGCTATGCAGCATGCGTTACGGAATCAACTATGAAGAAAATTCTGAAGATCAGGAAAACCAAGAAAGGGTCGCCAAGTGACGACTCTCTTGCGTATGACAGCAGCGTATCCATCAAGAGCGGGAGAACGAAGTTGCAAGAACGAATCAGTTGTCGTTGCAAGCGGTCCTTGAGTTCAACTCAGCTCCCATTGCAGTGCAGGAGCAATGGGGAATGGCTTAACCACGCCTCCCGACACCATGATGGTTTGTTTTTCGAAGTTGTCGAGCTATGGGTAGCGTTTGTGTAATTCCCGATCTACCCAATACTAGCACATACAAAAACCCGTTTGGGGAAATTTCTTCCAATTTTCTGGCCGGAAAACAAATTATCAGTTCCCCACCAGGACATCGAGGCGCGTCCAATGGCGCTTCATTTGTCTCGTTTGGTGGACGGGAGCTGCTCTAACCGTTTCCCCGGATATCTCCAAAATTTTTGAAACTAAAAAACTGTTTCAATTCAGTGAGAAAAAATAGATCAAATAACTTGTTTTTTCAAGTTCTTTATCGGAAGCGAGAAAGTGAAAATAACTTTTTACTTTCCCGTATACATACGTATATACGGAGTATAGGGAAAGTTATGTAATGTTGCGCGAAAAATCGGAAGAATTTCGGCAATTCATTTCCGGGCCCTAATAACGAAAAAGTGGATAAATCAGGTTGCTAAATAAAGAAAAAAATCCTGTAACACGTGATGTAACCAGAATCACAGTTTTGTGGGTCCTTGATACCAAAAAAACAAACGACGGCAAAACGTCCGTCCGTCAGTCTGTGAACACCACTAACGCCTAAACTACGAGAAGGATTTCTTCCAATTTGAAGAAACCTTTGTTCATCTGGTTCGAGTCTGAGCATTGAGATTTCGAAAAACATTCTTTAAAATTATGGGTACTTTACGTGAAGCCCCCTGGACATTTTCAAAATTTTCTCAAAAACAGCTCCAATTTTTTCTTTAAATTACTTGTAAAAATAGAGTAAAATTCACTTATAAATGTGGCATATGTCCGATTTTCACGGTTTATTCTAAATTTTCGAAAATTGCAAAATTTTGATTTTCTCGGCGTTTTCCTACAACTATAAAATTCACGACAGAGATTTTTCTTTCATAAAAAATTTGTTCCGAGTGAGTTCTTTCTTTCATTAAGGTCATGCACATTTGTTTTTTTTACTTTTAGTAGTTTTCGCGCCAAATTGCGTGTAATATCAATTTTAAAAAATAAGAAAAAGAAGATTTTTTTCAAAAACAGCTCCAAATTTTTTTCTTTAAATTTTTAGTACGGATAGTGCTAAATGTACTCTATGAGATGACATAAACGCCATGTTGCTCTATTCTTTTGTTGCTTTTTAAAAAATTACAAAAATGTATTTTTTTACTCGTCTTTCACGTTGTTTATATTTACATTAGCGGCGATTATTCACTTATTTATTCACATTTGTTCCATTTATTATATTTATGAGTAAAGTGCATTAAATAATGTCATATACGGTTTCTAAAGAACTCAACAGTTTTCTAGGAAAACTAGCTCAAAATTCGGCATTTTCCGAAACGCTCAAATGACATTTTTTCATAAAATTCCAAATTTTGTATTAAATCTTTTCGAACGGATAGTGCTTATCGCACTCTTTGATAAGACGTTAAGTTAATTTTGTTTTTTGTTTTCTCACAAATTTAGTTTTTTTGGAAAATTTTTCGCTCCACTAATATGCATATATCCAGCAATTTGTAAACACTATTGTATTTGAGAGTTAAAGTGATTCAAATGACGTCTAACTAAGTTTTTTGAAAACTCAAAACTTTTCTGTGAAAAAGCGCTTAAATTTCGAATTTAAATAGCGCTTAATGCCATTTTCTTAAAAACGGCTCTAAATTTTTCAAATAAAATTGCCATTTAAGACGTGATTTTACTGTTGTTGTTTTAGATTTTCTTAAAATCTATCTTCTCTTTCTTTTCTTTTCCGTCCTACTATTAGGAAACTGAAAAATTAAGAATTTTTTTTTTAATATGCTTTGGGCGGCGATAGATGGCAGCTAGCAAGAGTATGTGGCAAGTCTGAATAGCTAGTCGAGACCAAAGGAAATAGAAAACTAATATGGGATAGTCTGTGCCATTCTGTAGCACTACTAGTTTGGACTAAAATAGGGGTTTTAAGAGAGTAGGTTGCAAAGTTTGCTTCAAATAGTGGCTGAAAAGATGTCTTCAAAAACATTTTTCGTGGATAAATGAATCGACTACCCATTTATTTATGACTTAAAAACAAATACGTAGACCTACTATCAAAACAAACTAGTTTGCAAAATTCCTCAGCGTTTCCTTAAACAATTTTTCATTGTAAACAATTTTCTCTGTATACAAATTTTATCACATTTCATATAATATTGTAACAATAAAATAATTAGCATAGTAATTTTAGATCAGCAAAAATAAGAACGACCTACAATTGACAATGTATTTCTCTGATAAGAATTTAACCAGCAACTGAATCAAAAACTAACCTTTGATATCCAAATAATAAATAAGGGGGCTCTGGCAAGCTATAAAAATGACATCTATTAGCTGAGTCACATATTAAAACATCAACATCTACAATACTGGCACTAAATTTCAATTTTAAAAATAAATAATAAAGCATGCGAGGCCATTGATAGTAATGACTAAAAATATACCAAATTACAAGATTAGCTAATGACTGAATATATAAAATTGAATATTATAATACAACATGATAAATTACAATTTTGGTACTTAAATATCAAGTTGTCTTGAATATGCAGAAACAAAAAAATTATATATCAGCTTAAAATTATGACTTGAAAACCAAAACTAGCATCCCTGCATTTCTTATGGTTTTGCATTCAAACTCCTTTTCAATGTAACCATGAAAATTTGAGTGGGAGTGGAATTTTTAGTATTTTACTAATTTTTTAGCTTTTAGTATATTTTATTTTTAGCTTCTTAAGCCATTGAATCAATTCCAGAACTCTTTAATGATATTAAGTATAGTCATTTTTAACTAAAAGTATTCAAAAAAAAAACTTAAAATGACAGAGAAACATTTTGATAACAACTTTGCAACCCAATCTCCTAAAAGCCCCTACTTTAATCAAAAAGGCGGTTATTTTCACTTCCATACTTCCAATTTGTTTTAAAAATTTGGAAAAATGTTGTTTTCCGTAAGTTTTCCTCAAATCAAAACTGTTTTCAACAGTTTAAATAAATTTAGAGACACTTTAAGAAATTCTATCCAATTTGACATAGAATACCTTCATGAATTATGAAATTTAACGTCATTTTAACAAAGTTATCACATTATGACGTACAATACATAAAACAAAACTGATGTTTTTCTGCAATTTTTTAAATTTTAACTTAATTGTTTTAATATTTTATTCTCCAAACAATAAATTTGATTTTTTTCTTCATTTTTTGTTATTTTTTTAAAACTATTGGTACATTTGAAGGTCACATATATGTTTAGAACTCTTTCGCCAAGGCAAAGTTTTGGCAAAGTCGCTTTTTCACTTTCATAAAAATATTTAAAACTTTCATGTTGCAGATTTCATCAATGGTGCTTTTTTTTTACTTCCTTTCAGTCAAAACCAGTAAAATCCGATCAAGAATGAAATCTACATTAATTGCTCAGAAGCAAAGAAAGGGACTATCTCAATATTTTCCCAATGGATCATGGATTACTCAATGCAAACCCTGATAAAGGTGACAGGTCGTGAACACTGTACAACTGTACAGGAAAGTACTAGGAACTAAATACTAAGTACTTTTAGAACTACACAAAACAAAAATGTAATTATGACATTAAATTTATTATTAAAATAAATAATTACCTTCATATTTTTTTAATGTATTTCAAAAGTAATTTTGAAGTGTATAATATATGAACAGGTTCAATAAAGGTAAATAATATTATTTTGAAATATTTAGAGAAGATAACTGTTCATTTTATATTTATATTGTAAGACTGTAGTTACGCGGAAGAACATAATGATCTGAATCTCACCTCTAGTAAATAATAATAATAATAATAATAATAATAATAATAATAATTTTAAAAATGTCTTAACACTTTTACCATAATATTATTATTAAATTCGATTAGATTAGTTTATTTATTTCATCCTACTGGTCATAACATGACTTATAAGAAGTCATCTTTACATAATATAGCACAATAACATAATGCAATATAATAAAGAAATAAAACTTACATTCAATAGAAGCCTATTTAACATTATACATTCTTAACACAAGCAATCCTGTAACTCACTATATTCAATTAATATATCTTCAAAATACTTCTCGAAGATAACTAATGTTCACATATACGGGCAAAAGTGCAACTGCGTGCCTAACCCACATTTTTGGAAGACTGGGTAATCACACCTTAATCTGCTTAACTTCAAAGTATAAAAATCTCAGTATGTTCTCATCACTAATATTCACAGTACTTCCAGAAAACGATGTTGTTACTCTCAGCTTACAATTATGTTATTTTGCGCTAAAGTGGCCTGTGTAGCATAGGCTGTCCTTTTGTCCAAACAATCACAATAATATTTGTTTATTTTATGAATAAAACTTAGTATTATTATTAATACTGCCCCTATAATAATTTATTTTCAGTTTTCAATTTGCATACATTCATGATTGAATTGCACATTAAGAAATTGATTGTCAGTCGTCCACTAGCAAAAGTAGTATCTTTTAGGGCATGCACAATGTGTTAAAAATTTAAGTTTTAGTGAAATGAAGTGAACTAAGGGCATTTAAGTGAAATAAGTCTCAAATGTTCAGATTAAACCATGAGGGGGGGGAGGAGAAATAAGAAAATGAAGAGGGGAAAAACAAGGAACCGAAGTAAATGATTTGTATTCTTGAAGTAAAAGAAAAGTCAGTATAGCTGTTTAAAAACTAGTGTATGGCACGCCTGGTAAAAGTTATTTTATTTTGCTTGTAGGATTGCATTGTGATGAAACATTCCTAACTCACAAAATGAAATGACATTTTTACCAATAGTATCACGAATAACTTATTTTGATTTTTCTTACATATTATTTGTAATAATTTGCTCTTAAGAAATCCTGAAACTTGCGAAAGCATTATAAATGCAGAGTAGTCGACATTCCATTCAGTAAACAAGTTTTCCAAAGACATTGCATACAGTTTTTCTTGTCGTAAATAGTAAGAAGGAAGCAGGACGAGTGGAAGATGAGGATAACAATGAAGTAATCAAGTCTACCAACTTTACATGGCATACATAATTAAGTGTGTTCAGGACAGAAACCAGGGCAGAAAATTAATACACAATATAAGAAACAACAAAAAGACAGAGTTCCAGTCTGAGTGAGTAGTGAACGAATGGCTGGCATCCTATTGCTGTGTATATCCTGATAGGATAACGAGGGATCGCTTTTTATCTATGTACTACTTCTAAGTTATAACAATATAGAATAACAAGGGACCACTTGCGACCTCTGTACTACTTCTAAGTTATAACAACAGAGTTTGGCTGAAGTCTAGTATACAGAACAACTTAAGAAAGTTGTTTATACTGATCCTTTGTGCCACTCCGGGAAAATCCATGGTGGAGGGGTCGAGGGGTGTTTAGGGGATTATGAGGGGAACCTTTTGATGGGAAGGGTTGGTGAGCAATGTGTAACTTAGTACATACATATAAAAAGCAAAGTTTGTGCGGTTTCGCCGGTTGAGTTTTAAATGAAAACAACAAAAAAAGTTTTGACCTACCCAGATAAAATACAGTGAGTCTCTTGCGATGGGAAAAAAGTTTTGTTGATTTATAATAGTGATTTTTTACAAAACCATTTGATGTACATCAATTAATTTAAATTGTTGAAGACCTATTTTTTGAATTAGTAGTTAAAGATTAAATTACTATCCAACAGTAAGTTTCAAAAAAAAAAAAAAGTTTAAATCTTACAATACTTTCTTAACTATCAAACATTTTAAACTTTTCTTAGGGTGAACACTTTCATTGAAAATTGCCTTAAAAAATTAAAAGTTCACAAAACGGTTTCAAAAATTACGTTAAAAACCCACTAAGAAATCCCAGTATCTCTACCTGTTTGCACTGAAGTATTCTGCAAGAGTCATAGCATTTTTTCCTGGATACACAACCACAACCTGTGGACAAAATTTCTATTAATATTAAACATTACATTTTTGATAACATTCATCTTCTTCTCATTTTAATAAATCATTGCAACACACCTTGTCTGATGGCTTGTAATCAGGAACGCATGGAAAAGTATACACAGATACATCATTTCCAGCTAGGACAGCTGCATGTGCAGCTGTACTCTTTCCATCTATCTCTCGAGAATGCTTAATGATGTCAATTTTAATTGGCAACTGTAACAAGAATTTGTATTTCAATTTAATAATGAATAAAATGTATATTAAAGTGAATAATGGAAGTTTTGTTGACAGTGTGGCCCGTATTGATGTTACCTTCAATTGTGGTATCCTACCATTCAATGCTTCTACTGGCACATAACAGGTATAACAAAAATACTTTCTTGATTTCTTACAATTAATACACTGGCTTCGATTATCAATGTCGTCCAGGAAAGAAACATCATCTATTCTTAGATCTCTGAAAGGATTTTCGCCTTCTGCACCGAATTCCTGTGATTTTGGATTCATAAGTAATGCTAACACTCCAACAGGAAAGGCTAAGGGAGCAAATATTAGACACACTATTATATTCGTTGTTCGTGTGAAACCATAACCTTTTCTATCACGCCAGTACACGTCTCTCCGTATGCTGAGGGCGCTTTCTGTTGTGTGTCCAGACGCAGGCTGGGAATCTTGCAATTCTGGAAGGATGAGACACCTAAGATAAAAGAATGCGTTGCTATGGTTGTGTGAAGTGGACTACGGTGTTGGCAATACTACTATACATTTTCTCATGTTTTCTCTTAATCCCCTTTGGCAATTGATGTTTATTCTTTGAGTTAAAGTTGTTTGGCGGCAGTTCGTCGTAATGTGCAATGGTGCTAATGGTGGTACAGTAAATGGCCAGGGCTAGCGTTGGTTAGTGTTTGAGAAAACGTATTTTGTTATTTTATGCGGAACTGAAGCATTTTTACGTCTAAAGGGAGGTCTTTTAAGATTTATATTTCAAAGTTACAGCATACAATGTCATCTACAAAGAGCAGCAACGAAGGCAAAGGAAGAAAAAGACAAAGGGTAGAGTCGCGAAAGACATCGGAGAAAACTACTGTTCTCACAGAAACACGAAAATCGGCAAAGAAACCATCGAGTGTTGTGAGTTCAGAACATCGAAAGTCTCAAGAGGCATCAGAATCGAAGAAATCATCGGGTAAAGGAATCGATACTGCAGAATCACGAAAATCTACGGGAAAAAGTGAAACTTCAGAATCGCGTAAATCAGCAGGAAAGTCTAATGAATCCCACAATTCAAGAAAGTCTGTGAAAACGAGCGAAATTCTTGAACCAGATCCGCCAGCAAAGAGTACTAATGACTTACCTAGATCTAGTACTTCAAAGCCTAAACGAGAAGTAGAAAAAATATTTGGAATTACAGATCAAAGAGGTCAGTTAGAGTTTAGCATCAAATTTAAGAAAGAAGACACTGTGGAACTGATTCCAACAAAAATAGCAAATGTTGAATATCCCCAGGAAGTTATAAAGTTTTATCAAGAGCGATTGGTGTGGAAGCCCAATGGAATTAAGTGTTGATTGAGTTCTTAATAATGCAAATATTCATGATAATTTTGTGCCAAGTGAATGTCATTTTCAAAATCAATTTGTGTGACGGATCATTATTGTGCAATACATAAGAAGAATTTTTGTATAGACTTGTTCTGTAGGTGTTGCCTTCTTTGTGTTTCTCATTATGGACAAATATTTATTAATATATGGAAATGTAAGTAGAAAATAATTTTAAAACATTCTTTATATATATATTCTTTTTTTTTTTTTTTTAGCACCTATGAACCAAAACAAAAAGAGAAATTTCACTTTGTATTATATTAACAATTGTTTGATGTGTTTTCAAGACTTGCCATTGAATGTTCATATCTACAGCATTTCTTTAATATTAGGTAGTTCATGCTAGAATTGCAATACCTGTATACACGTGGTTGCTACTCCACTGTCTTTTTAACAGAAACTTTAGTAATTGATGTTTGTTTGAAAATGGTATTGTCTGTATGTGTTGTGCTGCTATTTTATCTTCAGTGTTGATAGAAACTTTGTCTCACAACACTTCTACCATAGTGTTTAGGTAACTCAGATTTATGTTGTCATAGCATTTACGCTTCTAATAGTTAAGACAGTCATTTGATATTGTTATATATATAAATACATGAGTGGCCATAATGTGAATTTTGAATTTTACTGTTCAGCACACTATTCAGTGAAATACCTTCAATATTTTTGATGTGTACCATATGTCCTGTCACTTAGTTTTAATTGCAATGCTCTCTCATAAGTTTTTAAACGAATTTACATGCTTGCCTGCTAGTAAATTATTATTTTATACTGTATTAGTATTATATTTATTTTATTCTAGTAATAATTTGAGTGATGAAATTGCTTTATGTAAAGTATTGATTCAGTTCTGAACTGAAACTTAATTGATATAATTAATCAATTATATTTCTTTCATTGGCATTTTTAATAAAGTTCAGAGGTTAAACTTTTATTTTATTTTTTCTCATAATATTATGAAAGTTTGTTGCTTCTAGAATTTCACTGGAGTGTTTATCTATAAACACTAAATTTAACTCTACTTTAATGAATATACTTAATATCCTATAATTACAAATCAGAAAGCTCAAATAAAAGAACAAAGTTGTCCCATTATCACACTAATTTAATAAAAAAATCAAAAACATGCCTAACCAAATAGGGCACAAGAGATTATGGGACCATGAGATTAAATAATTTAAGATATTTGTTGTTTAAGAATTAGTGTTTCACATTACCGAAAGGTAACAAATTTACTCATCAATATGCACAAATAGAAAGGTAATTGTTTAGAAAGCTAAGTGAATTATTTTAAGGAATATTGAACATTTAAAATGATATAATTATACATTTTAACATGAAATACTCATTTTTTTAAATTAATTTTTAGCTTGTATTAATTGATTGGTCGAATTAACAAAAATTAATTAGGTGCTTATCTCTTTGTAATTTTATATGGAGGCCTAGGTGTATTGTGGCTGTCACAACTGCACTGCTTTGTGTGATCAATAAGATTTGGAAATAATGCTAATGGTTTTGTAGATCTGTAATGCCTAGTGGAGCAAGTGATTTATGCATGAAACATGAGATTTATTTCTTAATTTGTTGTGAAATGTAAATTAAATTGTTTAACTTTTTTTAATGAAAATGTTTCTTATATTTATTATGAATAAATTAAAAGAGATTGTGATTTTTCAAGCTGTAATTATTGATTTATAAACTTTGCTGATAAAGAAATTTTATTTTAATGTCCATTATGATTTTGGGTGACTTTGTATATATTGTGTAGAATTGAAATAAAAGATATTTATGAAAATCATGATGTATTCTTAGAAGAATCTGATTAAGTTCATTCGGACTGGGCCCAACAGTGGATGCCTTAGGGGCTGTCCATAAATTACGTAACGCGAAAGAGGGGATTGTGGCATAGAGGCAGGCTGTGTTACATAGCGGTAGGAGGATATTCCAATAGTGTTATGTAACATTGACATTTTTTTAAATACGTTTTTTTTTACACTAAAACATTATTTAATTTGTTTTAAAACAAAATCTTATGTCATTACAAGTGGTTACTGAATAATAATTTATTTTCACTTTTTTG